TTTTTTCATCTGAAACGTGCAGCGATTTATTTTCCAAAGCCACTCATATAATGTAGAAACACCCATGAAGCAAGCAAAACACGCGCAACGTGCACACGTATTTGTACTGGTGCAGAATGAGAGGGACAAGTACAGTACAGCCTAGTGCATTTCACACAGGCTGTTAGTTTCACTTTCGCCAGAAAGTCGTGTATGCTTAAGGGTGAAAATAAATTACGTTTATAGTGAATGCCCCTATAAATTGTCTTATATTTACGATTTTGTTTTAATCCAAATTATGCGCGCTAAGTGAGCGGACATCAATAAAGATCACACAACAGAATTGCGCGCTCTCTCTCCCTCCCTCCCTACCATTAAGTAACATGTGCATTGTTTTACTTACTTCTTTTTAACATATCCGACTGAACTACAAACTTTCCAGTGATGTCTGTGAAAAAGGGATATTCACTCGACAAGCTCGCGCGCTCAATCCACTCAACATGATTTTGCTTACCAGCTGGCGCAAATCAGCTATACAGGTATTAATACGGAATGTTTTATATCCATTGCATACATATACTTCGTAGACATCTTTAATCTCTAATAACTCTATTCTGCTGTCTGTTGTCGGTGTTTCTTTGTCTGAATATGGCACTTATCACATGCTGTGTGGTATCGGCGTTTGGTATCGGGGCATTTTAACGAGTACGAGTACAGGAGCTCAGTATCAGTGCATCCCTACTCTTAAGTATACTTTAAGTATAACAGTAGTAAACTTTACTGTACACAACTAGTTTACATCTATATTTTTAGTTTGTACTGCAACTATACTAAAAGTGAACTTATAGGGATACTGATAGTTTGCTAATTAAGTACTTGTAGCATTTTTAGTACACTTTGAAGTATATTCTCAGTAAACTACTAGTTAAAAAAATAAAGAAATAAGAATTTGAACAAAAAGCTGAAAAAAGACTATTAATTGGATTTAGAATGATAATCAAAATGTAGATGGAGTCGATCAACACCCCAAAGCTTGACAATCATTATTAGTTCTTCATTGGTCGACATTTTATTCCATAACGTTACACAGTTTTGATGCTGTTTTATGTCTGATGATCATGTTAGAATACATGTGGAAACATCTGTGGTTTCGGTTTCTTCTTCACTTGTGTTTTTTAGGAAATTCTGTACAGAAGATGTGAAATAGCACCCCCTACCGGATAACAATGAAAACACGGATTCTCGGAGCACAAGTATAGCTCAAATATATTTTGACTTTAAGTCAAGTATAAGTCAAGTATACTGAAATGTAATTTTAAGTATACTTCTAAGGAGTACATACAGCCCATGTCTGAGAAGTACATAAAATTAGACAAAGTATACTTTCCTATTTTTTGTTGAAAAGAAGTATACTGACAGCACACTTGAATAAACTTATTTTTTGTAAGGATAGATAGATAGATAGATAGATAGATAGATAGATAGATAGATAGATCTAGAACTTAGATAGAACTTCTCAAAACTTTCGCTCCTCATCTGTCTCTCAAATTTAATTTTACCCCCAAGACTTCATCCCTGCTTAAATTTCTGTATAATTAGTGCAGACTTTTAAATAGTAATGCCCACCGTGAGAGAATATTTAAATATTTCAGATAGAGTTCTAATTAACTTTAGTATCAAACTGAAAGAGTGCGGCAAATTGTTTCATGCTGCCAAAGCAGGTAGCATGCGGTGCAGCTCCGCAGACACAAGAGCTTGACTGTCACCTTCACGCTTTCTCTTTGCCAAATTTAGCCTCTTCTGTTGATGCTTGAAACATCAGTCTGCCTCCACCCTTTCACTTCTACCCCCTCCCCTCAGCACCCCCCTCTTAATTAACCTTCTTGCGGTTTTGCCACTGAAATTAAAAGCTGGAGAGGAGAGAAGTAAAAAGGCATCTAATTAATTGCACCGTAAAATGGTGGAAATTAATCAGAACTGGAGGTGCAGGATTACATTAGTTAATCAAAGAATGGCTTTTAACCCCAGGAACAGAGACAGAACTTTACACTCCTTTTGAGGGAGATGGGAAAACAAAGCCGCAGAACACTTATCTCTCTTATAGGGAAATTAATACGTGGTAATAGGCGGCGAAACGTGTGGCCGTGCCGGTCCTCCATTATTACGGCTGATTCTAAACACCTTCCAGCGACGGTCTGCGTTTAAAAACGTGTTAAGGGACTTTGCGACGGCATGCTAATGTTGCCTAAATTATTAGTATCAGTGCGCCTTGAGGTCTAATCAGCAAATCGCTGCCACTTTTTTCCCCAGACGTCAACCTTAATTTCACACAATTTGTGTCTGCACACTTCAAAAGGATGTTTACTGACATTTGCTAACCTTTATACTGAGTAAACGGATAGATGAGGCCAGCGCAGACACTTCATTTTCAGATTCTGACATTTGACAGGCCCATTTGAAATGCACATACAGCTGAGGCATTGTGCCTTAAAACACACATCTAGTTTTGACATTTCTAATTCGGTCTCGGGCCTCATTCTTAAGCAGTATTCTCCACTCCTGATTCGCAGCCTTCACTTCCTGTAGAAAGAGCTGACACGCTCCAGGCTGCACCCCCAGAAATTATCTATTTGTAATTTGGAGCTATTTTCGGCCCGGTCCTGGTTAAGTGTTGAGTCCTTGGCTGTTTCAGGCCCCATTCAAGATTAATGACTTCAGACAGGCCCTGAGCAGTGAGGGAAACAATCCGGACTGTGTCAGGCAGGATATTGCATTGACACATCCTGCGGCTGACAGCTTGTGTCTTTCAGCTGGTGAGGTGAGCACCTAGTCTGCGGAGCAACAGCCGTCATGCTCACTGCTTGACTCTCTGACAAACACAATATGCAGTACAGTATGGAATGGCCTACATTTGGTGAAACCATTTCAGTAGAATCATAGAAAGACTAGTATTGAAACTAATAAGTAGTAGTATTAATTTATACTAGTACAACATATATTGCAGACTCGTATTGTCTAGTGCGGACATCTCACTTTACTACAAATTGTGAAAACCAAGAATAAAACTAAAAGTGACTAGCCTACTTAATATAAGTTTGCAAAGAAATAACAAGTTAAAATAACAAACAGTAAAGCCCATTTAATAGCCAAAAAAGACAAAGCAGACAACAAAAGCTTAAATAGTCTCCTAGTTAGCTAACATAAAACAGGGCAAGACCTTCATTCATCATCATAAATGCATGTGACACGCAAGCAATGAAACACAGACTGACACAGGAAAACACTTCCTTTTTTGTAAACCTCGCAATGATAAAATACTCAATGCTCACAAATAGCAAATGTGCTCAAGGAGAAACACTAATAAGCCAACACAAGCTATGAAAATGTTAAACAATCATCCCAATCACATATACACATAAAAATAGCCCTATAGCATGAACAAATACATTTAAATGGGATGTACAGTCGATTACTTTCTTGATATGTTAAGATATTAATCAGTCTTACTTATTTGACTACCCAAAAAGCCTCTTTTTCAGTTTTTAAGTTTCAGAAAGGTGAGAAATGTGGCTTTGCTAGAAGGGTTTCTTTATCATGGACTTTGTGGCACCCATAATAACACATTCTTAGTGTGCTTTAAATATATGCCTCTCTCTTTTTCTCCTCCTCTCTTCTGTCTCACAGTCTTACTTTCCTTTTCTTTTTTCTTTCTGTTGGTGGGATGGTGAGTGTGAGGTTTCATTACTATATTTCAGATCGGTGGCAAAAAAAAGAAGGAAAAAAAATGAGTAAGTAATTACTACTGTTAGCGAGCTCCCTATCACTAGCCTATGCAATGACGTGACTAATTATTAGCGAGTGACTATTATGGCTCAAAAGTACATTATTCTTCTAGATTCTTTGGGGGAGCTGATGACTTTAATACATGGTCTTATAGAGACACAGATGGGGTCTTGACTGGCCACCCACGCAAGTGAACGCTTCTGGCATTAAAAGGCCACGGGCTGCTGTGGGGGTTTGGCTGAAGGGACATTTTATTGGAACACTTTCACATGCTGGAAATTACACTTTCATAAGGGAACAGTGTACAAAGATAGATTTTGGTGGTAAAAACATAGCATATATATAGTTTTCAAAAAGTAAATGGTGTTACCCACAAGCTTCTGAACAAGACAAATATATTTAGAATAACTGGAGAAAGCTATTTGTTAACATTCCTATCCAAAAAGTCTAGAGATGGATTTTTTAATTTATATTTTAATACATTTACAAATGCACAAAATATACAGTAGTGCATCTCTCCCATCATTCTGCAACACAAGCCAGTAAGAATGCCTGCTGGGAAGGCCAATTTATTCTGGTGGGTGACTGTTGTGTTGGCCATGCTGGTTAGCATCTCTCTTTCTCTCCGCCTCTCTATGTGTCATTGCTGTGTGGCAGAGAGTGCATGTGGATTCTGTCGAGCGCTTCCAGATGGAGCTCTATGCTGGGCAGGCAAGGCCTAGCGCAGACTATGACCACTGGAAAAGAAGATTGATTTCCTCTATGGTGTACGACATGCCACGCACCGAAGCTTCACTCTCAAGCTGCACAAAGGAGCCCCAAAACATGCTGTTTTCTCCCAAAAACAATTGGTCCATGTGCAGAGAGACCATGAGCACGGAACCGACTGTTTGTCTCCATTTCCTATGGACAGCTGGGGGAAAAAGAGCTTTTTTTGAATGCCAGCCTTGGGATTGATTTTAAATGATGTTGTTATGTGCTGTCTTTCACCCTCAACACCCATGACTGCAACTGAAAAAAATCACCAGTTTACCTTTTCCTTTACTTTCCATATAGTAACATCCATAACTAGGGTATTTATTTATTTAAATAATTGTATTCTTATTTTTTTATTATTATAATACATTGTATGTGTAATTATTTCCTAAAATAAAATAATAAAATAAAATAATACGGCACAATTTAACTGTCGATAACCCTGCTTTATTCTCTTCCTGTAGACTCTTCTTCGAGATGGCAGAAGGGAGAGCACTGTAAGCACCCTCTACATTTCAGCCTCCAACATTGAAACCGGGCAGAAGATCATCTGCCGGGCGTCCAACAAGGCCGTGCCCAATGGGAAAGAGACCAGTGTCACGATTGACATTCAACGTAAGTGATGTCACTCTCAGATTGTTTCCTTTTTCTTCATTTATTTTCACAAAGTCAGCAGTTTTCTCTGTCTTTCGTTTTGGATCGTGCTTGCTTTCCACTGAATTAAAACACCAAAATACATTGTGATACTAATCAGAGTGCTTAGATTTTCAGTATTAATGGGAGCATTGTCTGCTGGATTGTCATAATTAATGTAGATTGCCAAATCCTCTTGCGATAAATAAAAAATGTGCTGGTATTGTTAACAATTCAACATTGGCACAAAAAGTCACCACAATGTTTCTTCTAGTAACCCTTGAAAATGTAAACTCTAATCAGTTATCATGTTTTTTTCTTTAAATATTCAGTTCCAAAAAAAAAAAAAATCACATTTACTTTCACATCTCACCCACTCATTCTAGTTCTTTCTGTCTGCCCATTTAGAGGAAATCTCTTCTCAAGAAATTTCAGAGAACAATACCGTTATACTTGCATTGCTCGAAGCCTCGAACCCTCATCAATAATGTTAACTATGACTAATAAAGCAGAACATGGTATTTAGAGACCCATTACTAGTGACAGATCCGTTGTGCAACTTTATGCATGACATAAGAAGCACTTTGTGGCGCAAAAGGGATCCGGGTGCCAGGTGAGGCGCTGTGGAGCAGAGCAGATATTAAAGATGATTAACATTTGTTAGTGTTGCACCAGCTTAAATGCTTGCTTGCATGTGTTTATCCAATGCAGCAGATAGGAGATAGGGTATAGTAGTATTACTAATAGTACTATTTCGCATGAAAATAATACCGCAAGGACATGTATTTGTTTGTTTATTTATTTATTTCTCACTTTGCAGTAATGGGAATTAAATAATTACATTTCTGTGCATTACAGGATGGGTGTATTAATTAATCAATCAATCAATCCATCCATCCATCCATATGTATTTATTTATCACAAATGCAAATGCTATAGATAGATAGATAGCATTCATAGATAGAGAGACAGAGAGATAGATAAATAGACATTTAATGATAATGAAGCCTATTTTTAGGATATCATTTTCACATTATCTTCTTTTTTTCGTATTTAAGACTATATTGTATTATCACCAAGCAACAGAGTGTGAACACAGACAGGCGGAGATATACAAAACACAGCGAAATGTTCAGCTGTAAGAAATATTAGGACTAACTGTTGTATAAATTTATGACCTTCCCTATACTAATTTCTGTGTCTCCCACTCGCTCTACTCCAAATGCTCTGTAGACGCGTAGAGACGCTGAACACTCCACTGCTGTCCAGATCTGCTCCCCATTCCACCGTCTGTGTTTTAATTAAACCACGCGAGAAATCAGACCTACTGTAATTGAACTCAGCCACAGAGCAGACAAATTTGCCAAGTCTCTGTGCTCTCTAATTTCATTACCCCACTCTCACCACCTCTCCATGGAAAGATGGAAATATTTCAAATGTATCACAGAGACGAGCAGTCTTGTTGCAAAATTCTGCACGGCTGAAAGGAACATCCCTGGGAGAGAGGCAGGTGAATGTGGAACGGGAGCCGTGCAAAGAGGATAATGAGGTTTTCAGAATTACATGCAGTCAGAGGCCCAGTCCGCTTTTGAATGACTAAATGAATACCCGTCTGAGTGGGATACATTTACATCACCCTCCTGAGCTGGAGCTCTGCAAAGCATGAGACATTAACTCAGAAGAAGGGAACAAATAGAGACGGTGAATGGTAAGCGATGACGGCAAGCTCTCCCTCTGAGGATCAAATACTAGCAGGTGTTTAATGAATAAGTTATGGCGGTATCGGCAGGTGGGACGAAGCTAAGGATGCAAACCCACTGCGGAAGGGTATGAGTGTTTCCACTGGCACATCCTCCAGGCCACAGGGGGGGCTGTGTAGCCATGCAAATCAGTTAATATTGATGAAGGACAGCTGTCTGCCGATGCACAAAACAGATGATTCAGGGTAAAGAGAATTGCGCACCTCGCACACGACTGCAGCACGCAACCATTAAACTCACTGAGATCATTCCAGTGGAAATTATCTAAGCGTTTCATATGAATAAATGAAGCTGATACATAATTACATAAAAAAAGTGTGATCTCACAAGCATTCCCTCCACTGTTCAGTTATGAGTATGTTTAAGGGTGAAGTGAACACGAACCACTAGTTCTATAATGACAGCTCTCTGAGAGTTTAGCATGGTAATGTGCATGGCAATGTTAATGTGTTTTGGCGGAATATCTGCTACGCTGCTACTGCGGCAGAGCAAGTACCGAGACTTGCTACTGCCAATACATCCACAGACATTCTGCTGTGAGCATGTTGCACATGCATGAAATAACCCCCATATACAGTATGGAATCGCCCCATAGCAGATCTATACAGGTGGAGCTGGGGAAGGTGGAGGGTTTCTGAAGCACACTGCAACTGCTACAGCAAGCTCTAGCTGAGTATTTGAATGTTGAGCAGCAGCTCTTTGGCTGCTGATGAGAAAAGAAAACAGTCAGCTGTGGCATGTGAATAGTGATGTGATTATATAAAATTGAGTTAGAACCTATCGGCCTGTGCCATCTAGAGATTCATGACAGAACTTTGTATTTGTAAAGTATTATACAGGCCTGGTTCGTCAAAAACCATTAAAAGTGTTAGAATCAGGTTTAGAGGTGGTAGTCATAGTTGGTTGTAGGTTTACATTTCACTTAATATCACATATTGTGTATGTATATTATAGTTGTTGGGCTGTATAGTCCAAAAAGCAGTGCCAGATGTTTGGGAAATGACACAGATTCCAAATTTCTATATGTGAATTAATTCCAGAAATGTTTTCAGTGATTTCAGTTCTCAAAAAGGGAGAAAAAAGCATACTTTATAAGAAACAGTGCAAAGTAAAGTTAATTTTATTTTGATGAATAGTATGACTTTCAAAATACAAATATAATGTTTATGAAATTAAATTAAAGACCACTTAACTCTTTCCTCACCAGTTTTAGTTTTTTTTTTTTTCACTAATATTTTTTATAATTTTCACAAAATGTTCATGGCCACCAGAGCATTTTGTTGTATGAATATCTGAACATGAAATATGTCAAAAATAGATAGATAGATAGATAGATAGATAGATAGATAGATAGATAGATTGATTGATAGATTGATTGACCTCTACTAGCTCTTATGGCTATTCTAGGAAAGTAAACAATTATAAATAAAGAATGTATTTGCCACACTCCCTGAAAATCGCAATAAACAACATGTAGGCGAGGACAGCAGTGCCCAGACTCGGCTTTAGCAAGAGTAATGAGAATGAAAAAGAAAAATCAATAGGCTTTATTTTACTTTTTTCTCTTTGTGTATGTGTTGTGCGTGCGTGTGTAGTAGGATCGATGTTGTGAGTGCAGTGCGGTGAACATGTTGCCATGTACCCTACACAGGCTGAGACACAGAACAGACAGAGAATCGATGGCTGACCCCAGGTGAACGACAGATATTCTTTCCATCTGCCTGTTTAAGGGAGTGACAAAAGGTTAAGATGAGAACCTTAAAGGAAGAAGGGAAGCAGGAAAAGATTCGAATATCGGACAGAGACTTTGATATATTACTTTAGCCAAATGAAAGATACTTACTAAGACTGACAGATCCACTGGATGAATAAGGAAACAATTAAATAAAAAAAAGAACCCATGAGGGATGTGTGTGCGTGCATTTCATCACATCCATCCTCTAATATGCCCACTCTAGCTATTGTCAGTCCTCATTCAGAGTCAACTAATTGACCACTTGGTTCAATGTGATAATGTCATCGGCAACAAAAGTAATTAAAGGCTTTCTGGATTTTTCCTCAGCTCAGATAATTCTCATTCTGATCAGCACAGACCTCTGAGACAGCCGCTCGCGTTCGGTCAAAATGAGCCCTAAATGAGACGAGTCCAAATATTATCCACCGCATTACTTCTTTGCTTACACTTGTCCAGTTCAATGCATTTCCCTGCCTGTATTTCCAGTAATCATTTAAACGCAGGAATTAGATTGACTTCAGAAATTTTGCTAAACATAAGCCCCGCTAGGATAATTTGACCTGAGGTTAAGCGAATTAGCATCTAAATCTGAAATTTACTGGGAAATCAAAGTGGGCATTTCTTTAAGTTCCTAAAGCTGAAGAAAAACCCAAACTTCCCATGGCATTGGCTTTAGTGGGGTCACATCACTCGACAGCAAAACCAGCTGCTCTATCAAATCCGTGTATTTTACTCCCCATGCACATTATGGAAAACAGATAGATAGAACACATTCACAGTATTTTCTGGAAAAAAAGAAATAACGTGTAACCTAACCCCCCTGCACTTCACTGCATCTCTACTTCAGCTTCATTTTCAAAGTTTTCCATCTTGATATTATTTTAACTTTATACCTTTAGATAGATAGATAGATAGATAGATAGATTGATTGATAGATTGATTGACCTCTACTAGCTCTTATGGCTATTCTAGGAAAGTAAACAATTATAAATAAAGAATGTATTTGCCACACTCCCTGAAAATCGCAATAAACAACATGTAGGCGAGGACAGCAGTGCCCAGACTCGGCTTTAGCAAGAGTAATGAGAATGAAAAAGAAAAATCAATAGGCTTTATTTTACTTTTTTCTCTTTGTGTATGTGTTGTGCGTGCGTGTGTAGTAGGATCGATGTTGTGAGTGCAGTGCGGTGAACATGTTGCCATGTACCCTACACAGGCTGAGACACAGAACAGACAGAGAATCGATGGCTGACCCCAGGTGAACGACAGATATTCTTTCCATCTGCCTGTTTAAGGGAGTGACAAAAGGTTAAGATGAGAACCTTAAAGGAAGAAGGGAAGCAGGAAAAGATTCGAATATCGGACAGAGACTTTGATATATTACTTTAGCCAAATGAAAGATACTTACTAAGACTGACAGATCCACTGGATGAATAAGGAAACAATTAAATAAAAAAAAGAACCCATGAGGGATGTGTGTGCGTGCA